TTAGATCAAAAATAAAACGTACGCATGCGTTCTGGGCTACTTGAAGTTTACGTTGCAATTTGAATGTCATGTTGGTCAGAAGAAAGTCGCAATAGTCGAAATGTGGCATGATAAGTGATTTGATGAGAGTCAAATGTTACGTGTGATGCCTGGTAAAATGCTGGCAGGCGTTTCAGTGAATGCATTGAAGCAAAAACTTCACGAAAGGTTGAATCTACTTGCGAGTTCCAGATGAGAGTTTTGTCGATAACTACACCTAGGTTCTTGGTTTCAGAACACCAAGGTAGAATGGTGTCATTTATATAAATATTAGGCAAAGCAGAAGAAGAGATTTTATTCATAGTGCTTTTCGAGCTGATAATCATGTACTGTGATATTTTTGGGTTTAATTGTAAGCCTAAAGACGCTGCCCAGTTGTTTACGGTTATCAAATCTTCATTAATATTTTGTACGAGTGATAAGAGGTGAGACGGGTGACCACTTAGATATATCTGGAGGTCATCCGACTACCTTTGATGACTGTAATATTTAAGTGCATTTCCCACGTCATTTACATAGATTAAGAAGGTCAGTGGCCCTAACACAGTGCCTTAGCAACTCGCCGGATTAAGCATTCCAAATCCCTTAAGCTACGGCTACCGCGACACCACTCTTTGGTTCTTGAAGAAAAGTAATAAGAAACCATTTACGCGTGGGCTGTGCAATATCCCATGATCCCTTTAGTTTTGCCAGAGGAATGTCGTGATCTATTGAATTCGAATGCTTTGCTGAAATCCAGAAGAACCAAGATAGTTAGATTACAGTAATCTCATTGCTGTTCTCGCGTGATCAATTGACGTTTAGTAGCGCGCGTTTTTTCTGTCATGCCTGCCGGAACAAAACCTGATTGCCTGATCGTTTAAAAGTGATTTTTTCTTATTCAATATACTGCCTTTAGTTTGCTTCCGGACGACTTTTTCGAGTACTTTTAGTGGGAGGATGCTAATGGGCCGATATTCAAAATAGGGTTTTGGTTGATGCTGTCTTTGGGGAAAGGATGCACGAAGCGCAGTCTTCCAGGATAAGGATATTGCGCCGCCTCAATAGAGAGACTGTTTACTATTCAGGTGATGATTGGGTACGTCACATCTAAGCTATTTTTTAGCAGCTTGGCATTTATACCATCGGAATCTGAAGCATTTGATTTGAGACTTTCAACGATTTTGATTATATCCTGATGTTTAATGAACGAAAAGAAAAATTTATCGTTGGATTTTATTGCTGAGTTTTGGAGAAACGCAAGAAATTGGCATTTCAAGTTACTGTCAAATGAAGGGACGTTATTTATGAAACTATGATTTAGTGATTCTAAGGGTATATTCGCTTCAATGTGGGGAGGACCTTTGCATATTCCTAGATTTTTCTAATTTTTCCAGATCGTTCTCGAGTCGCTGTTTCTGCCGAAGGTGGTGTGGTAATATTTTATTTTAGCGTTGCGGCATTTCTGCGTAACTAAATTTCTGAGCATTATGTACTGTTTTTTAAATAGTTCGCATTTAGTTTTCCGGAAAATAGCATACGCTGCATCACGATCTTTCATTAAATGTCGAATTTCAGCAGTTAACCATGGTGCAGGAAGACGAGTTACACGCGAAATTTTTAAAGGCGCATGCCGGTCGTGTTATTAAGTTAGTGAAAATAGTCACTTTATCATCCAGTGATTCTTCTTCGTGTACAAGGTGCCATGGAAGTGTCAATCCATCTACATTAAATGCTTGCTTATCAAATTTTGAAAATTTTTGATTATGTGAGGTGAGTATTTAGGGCACTTCAGGTTGTATACAAGGTAAATTAGATCGTGTTTTAAAATGCCAGGAACTGGATTTGTCCCTGTTTTCGAACTTTGTTTGCATTAGACACTATAATATGATCGATATAAGTTTCTGTGTTCTTTGAGTGGTGTGTTGGTGCTGGAGGTAAAATTTCGAGGCACATACTGTAGAAAAACCGTGTAAAATGCTCTGCAGAGGGAGAAGGTTTTAATAACTTACAGTCACCCATTACAATAACATGTTTATAAGAATTTATCGCAGATGCAAAGGTTTTGTCTAGTATATCTATGCTGCCTGTCTTAGGAGGTATATATATTACAGTCAAGAGACATTTTTTTTCCCTAAAAGGTCAACTTCGATGAAAAGATATTCGCTACGCAGGCAATCCGTATTTGTTGAAGATAGTACGAGCTTATGCCTAAGATCTTCGCGAATGTATATGCCGACGCCTCCACCGTGTGCGGCGACGCTGGCCTTCCGATCGGCTCTTATTAGGCGGTACCCTGAAATTGCTACTAGCGCAGAATTGAGAGAATGCTTCAACTAGGTTTCGCTTATGAGAAGTGCATGAAAACGGTATTTAGATATTATTTCCTTGGTACTTCGTCGAAATGACAGGGGACTGGGCATTGTGCAACGTGTAGACAGAGGGAGCGAGGGCTCATAGTGCCAGACGCTTGGACGGTCGGGGAGAGGGTCCGGCCACCCACAGGTAACAGGTTTACAGGACGTGCAGGGAAGAAAGTAGGTAGCATTTACAGAGGATTTGCAGAAGCAACGTTTGGAGAAGAAATATGGAAGGAGAGTTCTTGGAGGAAAACCGAGAGGGGTTGTGTCGGGGAGGTGTAGAGTGGGGGTGGAAGGGTGGAGGTGCTCATACGCCAAGGATTAAGTGCCTCTAGCTGGGTCCTGGTTTGCACCCGGGCACAACCGTTACCGTGTTTAATTACGATGTCGCCATTTTCTGTCCACACATTCCTGAGGCCAAACTTCTCGATGGCAGCTTGTAACAAAACCAGGCGCGATTTCGTGAGGTCCTCGCGAATCGTTATCCCAGTATGTTTGAGCAGCCGTTTCGAGCGGAACATTTCGTTGCGTTTCCTGTAACTGACAAATTTAACAATGATAGGTCTCTTTTTGCCAGTTATTTGACGACCTACACGATGACTTCTATCAATATGTTGTAGGTTTAAGCTAACACTTATCTTTTTTGCAACTTGCTCGATGACCAGCTTGTCGGTGTCTTCAGTTTTAGTTTGTTCAACTCCGAACATCCGCAAGCAGTTTCGGCGTGAATACATCTCGAGCTGATCTGTCCTTTCTTCTAACTGAGATTTTAGATTTGAAATCTCGCTATCCCGTTCAGCCAATTTCTTTTCTAAACATGTCACAAGATCATTATTAGAATTCATCGAATCTTCCAGTTGCTTCGCTACAAGTGAGCAGATATGCCAAAGAGCTGAAGAATGTAGGCGATGTTACTGTCTTATCCAGTGCCTCAGTCACTTACGCCGCAATTTTCGTTTCAACATCAATATTGGCATTAGATGAGTTCTTATTGCTCTTCGTCATCTTAAGAGAAAAAAATAATACGGAGAAAATCAAATGATCAGGAAAAGACACTAGGAGAGATGTTTAATGGAGTAGTGGGACATGGAGTAGAATGGATCAGTAGAGCAGATCTTAAAGCAGCAGTACAGCTCTGAAGAAGGCCACAGCAAGATGGCCGAAACGTCAGTCCAATCAACTGAGACGCAGCTCATCTCGGATAACCAAGAATACATTGACTCCGGCCGCGGAAGCCTACGAACCTAGCAGATCTTAACCTTTAAGAATACGAATTAATTCTAGAAGATAGATACAGTTTCACTGAACGGCAGAGTACGGCAAAATAGACTTATCTTTGTGGGCTTCTACAGCGTCAAGCAGTCGTTGAGTGTGAAAGCTGTAACGGTGACTACCTGCGAAAGAAACTACCTGCTGCTTAGCTAGGAGCGCCAAGGGACGATGCTTACACCGCGACGGTCATCGACAGCAATGCTATTCATTATTGAATATCATTAAATTGAATTGATATTCAGTATTGTAGAGTAAGAAATTAATCCTTACCGTGATAATCAAAATAATTTCAAATATCCTCTGAAGGTGCTTCATTTGAGTTGGTTGAGATGATTTCTAGTGATGGCTCAAGTGTTAGTTCTGTAGTAAATACAATTGCAATATTATTATAAATAACACTTCTCAACAATACGAGAAAGTATGAGCTGTTGAGCTCCAGTAGTTTTTAAGTTGCCTTCATAATTGTATTTGGTACTATGGTCATTAATGAACCTTAGATCTTTATTTGATACTTATAATTGTATGTTCTCATTATAGACAGTTTCATAGGGAAGAAACCACTCACATGTATTCTCTGTTTTTCATTAATACAGTTTGTTTTATGGCAAAGGTTCATAAAGAGAAATGAAATATTACAAAATTGTATAAATTTTTAATTTGTATTATTTTTTTTACAATGTACTTCTGTTTTGCTGACTTTTAAAACCAACTTCACAATACTCCTATATATAAACACCCCTTTTTTCTCTCTCTTTCTCTTCTCTCTGTTATATTTCCTCTCGTTTTTTTCGTTTTCCCCCAGTGAATTGCAGTTTAAAGTTACCCCTTGCCCACAATGAGTCAAAATATGAACTTATTCATTCAACAAAAATACTCCTGTACTAATGCACCCTACATAGAGCTCTTCAAATATGCCCTAAAGTATCAAGTTAACCATACCCTTCTGCAGCTACAAAAGCAGACATCTTTACAATATACTTTGCAATATAAGCCTTTGTTAGACTCGAATAACACAAGAACAATTGTTTTAGCCTTTTTCCTAACTGTTGTTTCATTTCTGTGTCCTTCGCCAAAACACACAATCCACTGCTCTCAGAAAATGCTACATCTTTCAATAGAAAACTCTGATACACAGATTATTTAATTGCTTTCAGACCTTACTGAAATAGCAGTCTATCATTATGAGAACACCATTCTTCTTTTTTCTCAATTTGGGGAAATCAGACATTATACATTGTGCAACCGGTGTCACTGCACCTGGGGTGAAATTACCTTTAAAGTTAGAGTTAAAATGTGTAAGTTGTAGGTTTTACACCAATAAAACTATATGACTTTAAGTTGTTTTTAAAAAAAATAACCAAGTTTGATACTACTTAAGTTATTTACTGTCTATATTGATTTTTCAGACAATTTACTGGCTTAATCACATTGATTTCTTTCATTTCCTAATTGGAATTGGTAATAGTTATTTTCGATTTTCCAATTTAATGTGTGTGCCTCCAACTGTTCTCAAAATCATCTCTACACTATAGACATTTTCCCTTCCTCCACTTGACAATTTATAATTTCTCAATATTTTGCTTACTGCTGCCTTCATTTCCATCATTGCAAACTTTTGGCCTGAAAATTATAATGAATAAAGTATATAAAATTAATACACAATTAATCAAAATACATAAAAATCATAATGGAAACTCTGCTATTTAATAATATGCAAAATATTTCACAGATTCATTTTTTACTTATTCATTTAAAGAAAAAAACTAAAATATATAAAAAAAATTGTTTATTTTATTAAGTTTATATTCTTTAACATTTCAGTAACGTGTTTCCTGTCATTTTAGTAAAAATCTCCGTTGTAAATTGTAAACATATTCTAAACATGACAATGACCTCTCATGTACTTATTATTATTGAACGTGAGTATCACAGAATGGAAAAAGAAATCATGGAAAACGCACCTATACAATTTCTGGGACCGGCACTGAAAGGTACATACGCATAGGGATGTCTTCCTCTTACATTTTCTGGTGTAAATCTTTCAGGATCGAATTTCTCTGGATTAGGGAAATATTGTGGATGCTTATGCATGATGATAGGTGCTAGCAGCACTGCTGTCCCTGCTACAAAATTAACTCCCTCTGAAAAATATAATTGTTTTAATTTCAAATTGTATTTACTCTCAACCATCTATCTCCTTATAACTGAACTTATTCCTAAGACAATTATCAATTGTAGTGTATTTCAGTGACGTAGCTTCAATGGATGAGAAAGATACGCCACATCACTTTATTTTACGGTTGCTTTTATAATTTCTTATCTTAACAGTCTGTTTCTCATTTGGTTTTGTAACACTGTAGTTTCCCATAAGCGAGTAACATCCCTTCGCCATGTTCTAATCTGCTGTAAGGCCAGTGACCTTGGAGAATTTTGCGTACTGAGGGAATAGGCACAAATCACGTGTCTGATGCGATTTTGGGGCATCTGGTTTACAAACTTCGGCTCCAATAATTTCAATCTTCGACCTCCAAGGGTAGTAGAACATGGACGTGGTGCACTATAGCGGAAGCAGTTTAAATTTTCTTCACCAGGGGGAGTTGCTTATAAAGCAGTTAAACATCTCAATAGTATATTTTATTTTTCAACTTTTAAACAATGTTGTCAAGTTCGAATTTTCGATAATTAGTGTAAATCGAAGATTTTATAATAGAGAAAAGCAAACTTTTCACCTTATCTTATGTACCGATTGCTGCAAACACACGAAAAAAACAACTGAATATGTGCCATTTGCTGCCGAAGACTGTGTACAAAGTAAAAAGTAACTTAAGACATATCACATCTCTTTAAAACAACCCAAATTGTAAATCAAATTAAACCCACCTGATGAGGCTAATACGATAAATTGATGGGACTAAAGTGATATGGCTATGAATTTTAATTGGGAAACGACGAGCAGGCTAAAGGGAGACACCTTAGGGTCTGGTGGGTCTCCACAATATTTTTTCATTTTTCTTATTTTTTGCTGTGCCCAAATACTGTAATATTTTGAATTCTTACTATAGGGTCATCAATAATATGTTTCATGATATTTTCTATTTTTTTGTTAATTTTGGATACCAATAAGTTACTACATAACAACGTCTGAGCACCAGGTCTCAGTAATTAGTGAAAGCTACCAGTGTTTTATTGACAAACTATTTGCTACTTTTTATCGCATCCCTTACCCGATATTTCAGGAGATGCTACTTGTGTATTCACACTTAAATCTTTTGAAACATACAAAGTAATCCTCAAATGATCAATTACATGAAACTTTTATTAATCATCTAATTTTTTGATTATAAAAAGTAAAATATGAATTTTGAGAGCAAGGAAACGTTTTAGAAACTTTAGAACTCTAAAAACCTTAAACAAATTCAATACAAATTAGAGTACCTATTTTAACATCTTCATCCAATTCTCGAACGAAAAGTGGGACACTTGGAAAAAGTCTTAATGTCTCTTTGATGACATATTCCAAATACTTCATCTTTGTCAAATCTTCATTAGTTGCTTCCCTGTCTGAATTTCCAAATATTGCATACAACTCTTCATAAGCCTTTTGCTGTAAAAAAATATTTTTCAGAAAATATTCGAATGTTTCTTAATAATTTATGTCATAAAAATGCACTGATCTACCATGTATATTATTTTAAAAATTATATCAATTTATGTTTGGTTATTCAGAAATATGTACATGATTCATTCATTATGAATCCCAAATATGTGAATATATATATATATATATATATATATATATATATATATATATATATATATATATATATATATTAACAAAATCTAAAAGTAGATCTGTGATCTCAATTTTCTTAAACATTTCAATTAAATGAAATAATGAATTAAATCAAACCAAAAAGTACTCTACTAAAAAGTTGTGGTGATTCAGTATCAATTGCCTTCAAATTACTCGATACTCCATTGTATGTGATCTAATTGTGCAGAAAATTTCATTTGAAGTAAAAATTGCTACTTTCAATATGAGTTTCTGGTTTTAAGAACATAAGTAATTTTCACAAATTCAGAACAAACCGTGAAAATCAGATTCCTGTTATATTTGTAAGTGTATCTCACTCTATTCTTACAAGAAAGTTAAAGAAAAACTGTTTGGCTACTTTTAGGAAAAATTTGAAATGGCGGAGAATCATCTTGTAAAGTACCCCCAAAGTCTGAAGGAGCAGGTTTTCGGCATCAGGGGACCTCAAAACGTGTAATTCCGTCTGAAAATCGATTTCCTGCATTACATATTTTTTTCTTATACTACGTATATTACTTCGTTTGTTGGTGTTTTTTGTTAAAGGCTAAAATAATTAGTTCAACAAAGAAAACTACGATAAGTGGGATATTAAGCACCCCCACAGTAATATATATTAACACAAAATAAAGTAATAAAATGTGTAAATACGAACATATATCAGAAAGTAAAGAAAGGTTCATTACACATTTGGGATTAATTATGGTCAATCTGATAAATAAAGCCTTATCGGTTCATGAGATGCATGTCTCCAAAAAATGGATTGTTTTTTCTAATTCGATTATTCTTAAGTGGGCCCGTCCACTAATGGGCCTAATAAGTTAAAGGCCTTGGTGGGATTGTTTAATCCTTGAAAACTTAAGGAGGTCGTTATGTAATCGATGTGCCACAAACCTGGTGGGGTATGTTGCCTCCTTAAGTCCAGAATCCTTTCATTTTACATTTTAAGCATGCCTTTCCAGTTATTTTCAAAATACTTTCTATTGCAACTTGCCGGCATTTCAGAACACTGTAGAACGTGACATTTCATTCCGTGAATAGTCGTAATTAAATACCGTTCGTCCTTCGCATATTATAGTCCCCCTCCCCCCCTTGCTAAGAGAATTTTATGCGCCAGTTCCAAAGCGCACATGTGCTTTCCTATATAATCAGGCATGTGACGGATTCTCTCATCACGAAAGACATTATTTGTCTGTCATAAACATCGTAGAGAAATTCACTTGGCAAAAATTGGAGAGGAATGTAAAGTGCCATGCTTCTCAGACAATTTCTCAAAACATTTTTATTAGGATCACTTCATTTTTCTTCATACGCCACCTCCGATCAAAACTACTCCGAAAATCATAATCGTTTCATGTTTAATTAAAATCGAATGTTGAATTTGTCAGATGCTTACTGGCGCACGTGTTTTTTTGCTACTGTGGGCAAGGGGGTGACTGTGATAGAACACGTTCCATGATTCCATGATATGGAGTTCGTCAATTTAGTTTTTATATAATTACAGCTGTTAGACGAAGGAATACTTCTCTGAAGTACATTGATACTCACTTTTTAGCGAACTGTCATTTTGGCTCAATTCCTAGACAGCAGAAAAAAGGTCGGTAATAATGGCTAGTAAAAAAAAATATATCACAACTATACTTCAAAAATTCGAGTGCAGTGGCTAATTTTGAATGAATTCAAAGCTGCAATGAGTATCCACAGACAGCAAAAAAAAGACACTGCACTAAACAAATGGTCTCACTCTGCCCTTTGGTCGGCCCTTGTGGGTGACAGCTTAATTGCGATGCCTATAATTAAATGATGAAAAAATAAAGCATAGTAAGGCAGATGGAGAACTGTCTTCTCTACACCACAAGTTTGAATTCCATCTCTCCTTGCTTCGCTGAATGGACGCCACGACTTCTGCTTTCCACTTTGAACAAGATACATCATTAAAGAAGGATTTGTTCTACAAAAACTTAATATGCCGGATTCTATTAATTTTTCCTAGCACTATCCTTCGAGTATTTACAGTTATATTTACTGCTGAATAATTGCTCGGCGACTAGTAACTATCAAGATCCTCCTAATTGTAATTGTTTGATTATGTTCTACGGTGTTATATCTTTGGTGGGCGTGATACATTTTACCCACTTTTTCAGCATATTTTCCTATTTATTTTCAGTTAATCAAATTATTCATTTCAGGTCAAAAGAAAAGCGCTAGCGTTCTTAACATGCTTTTGCAATATGACAAAAAGTGGCGAAATTTATCTCTTGAAGATATTCGAGAAGAATGGATACTTTCATGTTTGGGAGTAAGATAAAAATCTATATGACAAAATTATGTGTTTGCTTTCCATTTGTAATGAACAAAATTATACATTTTTAGGGTCATGGATACCACACTTCTGGATATCTTTCACTTTGTGGTCTCTAGCTGAAAACCCAGATTGCCAGGTAACATCAATTGTTCACAACTACATATTTTAATATTGATATTGTTATATTTCGTGTCATCAAATTTAATTTTCGAATAACATATGTCTGTTTGTTTCTACGATAAATATTTTATAAATTTGGTTGTGCTGCATAGTGCTCACACTTTCTCGCCTTGCACCTTACTGGTGCCTGAGTTTGACCCCAGTTGGTTGGCAAGTGGAATTTGTAGTAGACAAGGCGGTTTGCAAAATGCTTTCTGGGGTACCCCCTTTTCCCATGCCAAATTTGCATTCCACAGAATCGTCCCATCAATCATTCGTTCACCATCATTCCGCCAAGGATTTACGGGTACAGCAGCGTCTAGCGTACCGAGGAACTTGTTAAGAATATTCTGAGTGAGCCCCTCGCGAGACTCTAGATGGCGGGTGGTAGAAAGCGGAGTGCAATGCCAGGCGGGCGACAGGTAATTCTTGAGCCTGGGGGGGGGGGGACCGGCCTATGGACCTAGCAGAAAGCTTATTGGTAACAGCAGTTGACGCGCCGCAAACGCCGAAAATAACCAATCAACCATCCGCTACTCACTGCTAGGTCTCCTCCGCACTAGCATTGGGAGCCAAGGTGCATGCGGTGCGTCTTGGCATACTGGTTGGTAAGTTCTTTCGAGTCCTTCCACAACATTCTGAGAGATTTCGGCGAAAAACCGAGTTTTTTGAAGAAGAGGTTTAAGCAACGTGAAATGCATTTTATGAGTTTGGACGCGTGTACATAATTCATATGATGTCTTTCGACTAGAGGATATATCAGAACCTTCTTTAAACGAATCCCTTAAAATCTTGAAAAATAATTCTAGGAAAATGTGTTTTGGAGGTATTAATACACTTAGAGTGAATTACTTCAATGCGGTTTGAAAGGCATAAAC